TTGAGATCTTGGATTTGCAGAGGTGAGATGTGTTCATTAATGATTAATTATAAATCTGTTTTCTAAAGAAGACTTTAAAGCTTCAAACTGCTTAAATGCCTCTAACTTTATTTTTGTCACAACTTGTGTCTTTTGGATCTGTATTAAAGTTGATTTCAAGCTGTAAAATTTAGCTACACATTTAAACCATCCCCATACGTTGAGTGTGCAGTTCAGTTTGGGCCCATCTCTAATTTGTATAAGTGGACGAAGTATTCAGTTTTTCTCAGCATGAGCTGGATAAGAGTTTTGACAAGTAGAAGGAAAGTTTCTTTGCAGGTATTTAATTCCCACTGTAAACTCAACTAATTATAGACTTTGGCATATAGAGAGGGCTTTTTCTTCATCCTAGCTGTAACAGAATATATCTGTCTCTTAGAAATAACATGTAACATTCCTTGTACCGAAAATATGCAGCTGTCTTTGTCGCTGATGTATTTCTTGAAGGCTTGACTGTGCTATTCTTACATGAGTTAAATTCACCCAGGGTATGAGACAGCCCTGGAAGGTTCCCAACAAAAATATGGAAGCATATGTTTGGGCTTCTGAGGGAAAGGCAGCTCCATAGTAAGTGAGCAGCTTGACTATGCAACCTCCTACATGTGGTGAGACGGCCACACTAGTTCTGCATAGCCTAGCAACAGCTGTTTCTGGTGACACTAGATCCCTGAGTTTCGGATTCAGCATATGTTTAACAGGTATTTCTGCATCTGTAATTCTTGAACTTGCTCTAGCTCAGTCTCAAGTTGCTTTCAGTTCAGGGAACCTATCATTTGACAGAATAAAACCACAATACAAATCTTACCAGTTTGCAAATACTGAGTCCGTTCCTTTGTTGAAAGCAGACAGTAGAGGGAACATCTCTGAGGTATCATCCTGCCTAAAAATACAGGTTAATTAAAACATACAGAATAACACATAGAACAAGATACTAAGCAGTTATCATAACCACATCCCATAATACTGTATTAGCTTTCTTAACTTGTTTTCATTAATCTGTCTTTAAAGAGATTCCTGAGCAGCTGTGTTTTAAGTGACCATGTCTCAGCCTGGACCTGCTTACAGGTGACAGAAAATGTCAGCTTTTTAGAACTGAGTGCAACAGGAGAGAGGGGCTATGGCTACACTGACATTTTTTTTCAGAAGAAGATATGCAAATCGTGCTTGCATTTGTATATCTTCTTCCAATTCTTTTTGCGGAAGAGGTTTTGCTGCTATTTGGCAAGACCCTGCAAACCTCGTTCGCAAGACTCTATAAACCTCGATTTACGAGGAATAAGGGGTCTTGCGAAAGAGGGCTTTTTTGTGATATTTGGCCCCGTCTACACGGGGCCAAATAGTGGCAAAACCTCTTCCACAAAAAGAATTGGAACATATGCAAATGCGAGCACGATTTTCATATCTTCTTCCCCCAAAAAATGGTAGTGTAGCCAGAGACAGAGATCTTTTTCCTTTGAAACAGTCTGAGCCACAGTCTCTTCAGAGACTCAAACTATAAGATACTGGAACTGAAAAGACCACGTTTAACAGAACAGATATTCTTAGGATTTTGGATCTTCTGATTATCTTAAGACACTTTCGATATTAAGAGCTAAATTTTGCTACTGTTAAACATGCCGCCAATAAACGCATGTATTTGCATATGGTTCCAATGTTGCTCAAAATGAATACAATTTGTGTGTGTCTTAAAAAAAATCCCAGCCACACAACTATAACTGTGCCCTCCAAACCAGCCTGTCTCAAATTCAGCCACTGAGGGCTTTTCATATCCTCACAAAAACATCAGTGATGGGGGAAGGGCAAAGTATCAGCCTCTCCTCCCTTCCCATTGCTCCTGGATGCCTTGTACTGCCTATGGAGATAGGTCCACAGCAGCAGACTCCAACCCCAGGCATCAGCTGCACAGCCCCGGGATCTAACCATGAAGCAGTGTGTACTGAACCACAGCTCTAGCCATGGAGACTTATTGCCCACATCACCCATAGCCCTTGCCGCCTCTTACTCTGGCCTCCCCAGCTAGGGCTTAATCTTTCCTAGGGGTTGTTGAAGTATCACTTTTTTACAGCAGACCTACTAGCAGGCTGAGAAAAGTGATACTGGTATGTTTGTTGGTATCTCTTTTCCCAGCCAACTAGTAAGTCTGCTGTGAAAAGTGATAAAATGATATTTGTATGTTTGTTGTTTTCATAACACTATTTTTGTTACTGAGCTTTACAAAATAAAACCTTATATATTACAGTGTTTTGGACATGTATGTGCATATTTATTTGGTTTTCCTAAAGTTAATGAAGTATTTTAGGGGAAAAAGTCAGTACAGTCACTAGCAAGAGTTGGTAGCCCCACTCTGAGGCCACCAAAATTATTGCTCCAAACAGTAATAATACTTAACACTTAGGTTAGGTCTAATTTGATGCAAACAGTGGCAGACAGAGAAAGTCAGAAAAAGAAATGCAATTTGCAGTACACAAATTACGTATCTTTCCGCTGTTCTGTCGAAAGAGTCTTTTCTGAAATTTGGCACATATATATGGCGCCAAATTTTGGAAAAAAGTCCTCTTTGACACCTCTCCTCTTCCTCGTCAAATGAGGTTTACAGGGATGGTGAAAGAGCATGTATACTTTTTTGAAAAATTTTCCAAAAAAGCAGACGCATTCCTTGGACTTGGCATTGCTTTTCCAGGATACCTCTAGTAGTGTTGAGCTACTCTGCTTGGGTAAAATGGTGGGCTAGTATGGCGGCAAATGCTTATCCCTAGAGAACAAAAGGAAGTCCTCCTGTCTTCATTGTTCAGTGGATGGAGTAGGTGACAGGCAATTTTTTTCAGCACTTGCTGGCCTTATCAGCTTGTTAGCATTTGGAACTCAAACTTGTGTACCTGACCTCTCTTTAACCTGGTCTTAATATACAAATTAATGTAACTCAGAAGAAAGTAAGCTGAACTAATGAGTTATTGTAGCTCTGTCTTAATGTTATATAGATTGGATCCATTGGCCCTAAACAAAAAAAAAGTTTCCTTTTTCATAATCTAGAAGTTCTGATTTAAACCTGTGAAATTCTGACACATCCATTTCTTAAAAACAGACTTTGACAAACTTGAATCGAACCAAGAAAACAAAACTCTTATCAAAACATAGTTCAGCTCAGTGCCTCTTTCCGACATACAGTTCCTTAGGTTTATTCAAAACACACCAGAAACAGATGCAATTGGTCTTCCAGTGTATTGTTATCAGTCAAGATTTCGTTTTGGCGCACACAAGCCTAAATTTAGCGGATTCTTTCTCTCTCTCTCTCTGTCACTGTTTGCATCGACTTTTGCAGTTGAGAGACTCTAAAATCATTGCCAGTATATGCTTAAAAAAAACCCCTGAGAAACCTGTGATTAATGACATCCAGAACTAAGCCTGCCAACATGTACTTTTGTCATTGTGTGTGAAAGGGCTGTATGCTGAAACCCAAAGAAGCAGCACAACCACGGTTCTGCACAAAGTTTTAGATTGGCAAAATAGATATATCACTTTTTGGTAACGCCTTAATTTCGTGCACAGATTTGTCTATCAAGTCAGCAAAAGCCTGTTCAGACTTACGGGGTTTGTTACTAAATGTCAAGATATCAAATAAATTGAATTAATAGAAAAGTAGCATTCCTTGTGACAGGGAAGAGGACTAGTCTGAAATTTGTAGTAAAGATGAAAACAAGTAGAGATGATTATTTTAATTAAAATGTTCTTTATTTTTCAATAAAAACATCTGTTTTAGAAAACTTAAATTTTACCTTCATTTTGTTAAGGGAATCCAAAGATATTAAATAGGCTATTTATTTATTTATTTATTAACCCAGATCATTCTATGTACAAATGATCAGATAATGTCTATGGATCCAGTTTTGCCCATGCAGTTACCTGATAATTAAAAGAGCTATGTGCATATTTTTGAATAATGGTCTAAAAAAAGGCCCAACATTTGGTCTAAAAAATTTGGAATTAAGCTATTTAACAGTCAAAAGTAAACTATTTTGCCTTTTTTGCATGGATACTTCTGCCTGTCTTACTGTTTAACTATAGCAAGTCTTGATTGCTAAGTGCTAACCTTGAATTAGTGCTTCCTAAACTTTTCCATGCCATGGTTGATGTCACAACAGAAAAACAAACAAACCAACCTTGAGATAGTGTTCCCTTGGAAAAATAAAGAAAGGGTATAGCTATTATTCTCTAGATCTGTCAACAGTGCACCTGACAGTGGCAGTTCCCATCACAGAAGTAAACTGCAATTCTAAGTCCTTCATCTAATGTCTATGAAATAATGTAAACACAGTGTCTTTTCAAGCTAGATAAATCTTTAATTATTTTGGCATTCCAAAACTCAAATGGTTACTTGAGTTTCTTATGGAATTTCTAGCTGCTGGTGTACAGGAGCTTCAGGGGATAGCCAAGTTAGTCTGTTACAGGAAAAAAAACAACAGATGGTCTAGTAGCACTTTATAGACGAACAAAACATGTAGATGGTATCATGAGCTTTCGTGGGCACAGTCCACAAAAGCTCATTATACCATCTACATGTTTTGTTCGTCTATAAAGTGCTACCAGACCTTTTTGTTTGGTTGTTCAGTACAGGGCCAATACCATATATTGGTCAAAGCTTAAACCTCCTCCTCCAAAAAGAAAGATAACCCCTTTAAAAACTTTTGAACTCCTTACTCACACAAGTGAACAGTTACCTACACAGGTCATACCGCTGAAAATTAATGGAACTACTTTTGTGAGTAAGTGCTCACTCTTTTGCCCTAAAGGAGAAGAAACCAGATAATCTGTATATGTCCATTGAAAAGATAAATGAAGATCCTAAAAATCATGTGTGAAAGGAAAAGAATGTATTTAATGAAGATAGTGCATTTCACAAGTTTAGATTACATGGAGTTGTATGTATGTTTCATGACTTTGTCTTTTTCTTGTTTCCTTTTTAGTTACTGGCTGACAAACAAGGTCCACATCAAACGACCCAGCACTGGTCTCCTCATGTACACGCTCACCACCAGATTTTGTGATGAAATTCACCTGTATGGCTTCTGGCCATTCCCAAAGGATTTATATGGAAAACCAGTCAAATATCATTACTATGATGATCTAAAGTATCGGTACTTTTCAAACACCAGCCCCCACAGGATGCCATTAGAGTTTAAAACTTTACATGTGTTACATAACCGAGGAGCACTGAAATTAACAACAGGGAAATGTGTAAAGCAATAAAGCACATGTAAAGTACAATATAAAGTATGGAATAGTCACGTCATCATAAAGATGTTGTGAAAGGCAGTGGGATCCAACAGAGGATATGTTTCAATAACCACTAAGCCATTGCGAAAAGGAAACTTACCTGAAGTCCATTACCAGCTGATGATATACCTGTAAAGTGCTATAAAACTAAGATATCTTGACTGCAAGGGTTCAAGTAAGTGCCACTTTCACTAAGAACAAAGCTTGAATGTATAATCAGTAGTGTTTACAAGAGCCAATGAAGCATTCATTGTCAATTAAAGAAGCAAATCGTCCATTTAATGCTGACTTACCACCGCAAAGTTGAGCAACTTATAAAAGAGATACTCAGCAGATGGAATCTGTCTTAGGGGAAACTGCCCTTGGCAACAGAAATCATGGTTGAATTAGTGGAGAAAGTGATGTCCATAAGATTAGATAGATCAAGTAAATGCCTTCTGTCAGGGGACTGTATCTGACCTTGTATTATAAACTCATTGTTTTTCTTGGTGTTTTTTCTGATTGCTGGGTAGTTGGTTTTTTTTATTTTTCATTGGGGTATTGGAATCCTTAAAGGATTTTATGAGGACAATGGAAACAATTATAAACAAAATCTTCAAAGAGTTGTATTTGAAGAAATAAGTTCTTATAGAGGAAGAATCAAATACTTAAAAATATTTGTTGTATTCTGCTGTTGCACAACTCTAAACCTCCAGATTGATTTTTTTTTTTTTTAGCTGCAAGCTGTCAGCATCAACTAAACAGAACAACTGTGAGATTGGTAATTTTGAGCCATTCTTAAGGAAAAGTTTCTGTTACATACCACCTGGGGAGGATGTACGTAATAAGAAGGTGCCCTTACATTTGGTACCAAAGATTACACTGTTTATTTTGAATACAAATACCTTTGTTTTTCTCTTCGTGGAAAAAATGTACATTTAGTACTGTGTTGCTCTGCTGCTGAAGGAAAAGTGGATTTAGGTATTTTTGTTTATTGGAATTTATCTTGCCTACTTTGTTTTAATGAAGAGCCTCAACAAATTCCCTGACTTTGCCTGCAGTGATTTGTTCTTTAGAAATATCCAAATTTGTTTTATTCCATGCACTTGAACACTTAAACATACGGGTGTGATTTGTATTTCCAAAATGTAAAATGTATAATTTAATTTTAAAATACTGTAAAAAATATAGCATAATCAATGGGAAACTTTAATTCTTTGGAATTAAAAGATGGCAAAGAATTAATGTAGCAAAAATTTTGAAATTGACATTTTGCAATATGCTGTATCCCTGCCATATTAGAATGGATAAAAGCTGAATGGAGAATAAAGCATAAATTGAACAAAGTTGTTTTTAAATCTAAATTTCTCATAGTATTGAACAATATTGTATTAGTCCAAATGCTGATAAGTAACTGAAGAAAATAGCACATTGCTATTTTATTCCTATATCAGTTCTTTTCTTCCAAACCTCATTCATTCATTTTGAGAACAATTCTTCTTGTCCTGAACTTTCCAAGAAAGAGATTTAGAAGTGGCAGAAAGAGTATAGAGAAGGCATATCTTCACCGTTCATATCAGATTTGGGTAATTATTGACTAAGTGCATTGGAGTAATCTGCAAAATCAAAATATTTTTGTTTTAGATTGTGTATGTCAGCAAATTTAACACCAAACACATGAGCAAGGATG